CATCGGGCTCCCTGCTCAGCGGGGAGTCTGCTTCTCCCTCTGACCCTCTTCCCTCTCATGCTCTCTACCATTCTCTCTCTCTCTCAATAAATAAATAAAAATCTTAAAAAAAAAAAAACAATGTGTGCCTTTGTCATCATACTCTTGCCCAAAGCCCAACTGATCTGATGGAGACTGTAGTTCTCCATAAGATAAATTCTGCACCTTTGTTCGTCCATTAACCTAGTCCAGTTGCTTATCACCTCAAAAGCCCACCATATTCTTTGACAAAATAAAGAACAAGAGGATTGGGGCTGGCATTCTGTCTCTGTTCACGGGCATATTTCTTCCTCTTCATATCAAGATGACTAGCTGCCTGGAGTACCATGGAGAAGCCACCTTTTCTCAGCTTACACCAAGTCAGGAAAAAAACATGTGCCACCAGAACTCATGTTGTTTGGAAAGAAGCAAGGACTTCAAGACAAACCTTACAATACTAGTTCTCAACCCATTTCCCAGTGGTAGATTGATGATGGATGACATTCACATTCAGAGCACACCTCTATATTTAGTTATGTGCATTCCTTATACCTTCCATCCCTTTCTTTTCCTCTCAAGAAAGTCAATTGGGATGAGTGAGAATTACATTATTATAGGGAAAATTTTGAAAGTGATCTTTTAGTAAAATAACTCATCATTTATAATATTGATATTTGATAAATCACTTGGGAAATGACCTTGACTCTTGTGACTCTGAAGTGGAAAGCTGTCCTAGAATATTATCAGAAAAGCTCCAAAATGATTCTTTTGCTAATGCTCTTGAGCCTTGGAAACCTTTCAAGATTTCCACAACAGAGGTAACCCTGAATGACTCTAGATAACCCTTCCATGCACCTTGCACATGTATCAATTATCTATACTTTTTAAAACAGGCAAAATGTGCATTATCATCTTGATTTGACTTCAAATCTCTATGGTATGCTGTAATCCTATAAAATACCCTCATTCTGAAACAATTCTAATTTTTTGAAATGATAGCAAAGTTGTAACATAGTGATTTATAATGCATGGTAGATTTTTTTTAAATATGAAAAATCCAATTGGCTTTCATTTCTATATATCTAGAAATACTTTTTAGTCAAACTTATATCCGTTTTCCACTTAGTTCTTGTTACTATAGTTTTGAAAGGGAAAGAACCTGAGCATTCAATTACATATAAGAGAAAAATAGAGGGAAATTTGATATAGATTAATTATAGTTTGAAAGATTTATTTATTTGTGATAAGCCTTAGCTTTCTCTAGTTTATTTGGCTTTTGCCTTGTATGTAAAAATTATGCTGCTTTTACTTTTATTAAAACAAGAAGTCTCTCCTCATTTGCAGAAAATGATATGCAATTATCTCCTCACAAATGGAGGTACTACAGCTCAAATTAAAACCCAACATTCATGAGGCGTTATTCTCCAGATCAACTCCTAGCTGAAACTGAACTCAGTGGGATTTATGTGAACTTGAAAATTAATAAATTGGCATATTAGTTGTAAAATACAAGAAATAATTTCCTGTCTTTGCCAGATGATCCATTTGGATTAATGCCTGTAAAAGTTCAACTACAGCAGTCTTCACTGAATTTTTAAATAATGAAACCATAACCCTTTCTCCCAAGGAGTTTATTAAACTTTCCTTTGATTAATGCTGTTGCCCACCCCTCCTGGGAAGTCAGATGTATAATCAATATTACAAGCACATCCCCCCATATTACTTGGAGAACTCCAGCTGCTAAGTCACTTAATACAAATGTATCATCTAAATTCATGAACATGGTAATGCTGTTCAAAATTTTTAATCTGACAGAAACTGAAATCTATCATTCAGTTTGTCCACTTTATATCACAAGACTGGAGTGAAGGAGTTAGCCATGGCCTAATTAATATCATCATAAGTAAAAGAAAAAAAAGAAATCTTTTTAAGTCTTTGGATCTATTAGACATACCACTAGTACAGTCTCTGAAATAAGTCCCTGAATTTTCATCAAAATTACCTGAGTATAAGGGAAGTGAGAGTGGCAGGAAACACCCTATGATTTACAGATCAGGAGAGTTTTAGAAATACCTGAATATGACAGGATCTATGAGAAGCAGTGCAGCTGTGGTTCAACATTATTAAAAATTCCATGAAACAGGAATAAAAGGAGCTGATAGTAAGTAGAGTTAAACAGGGGATGACAGGGGTTTAGGTGGCTTCTGACAAGACTTAGAGTAGACAGCCCAAGTAGGGACCCCGACATCAATATTCTTGAGAGAAGTTAGGTGTGGTAGGGCAAGAAGAAAAGAAAGCAGGAGCACAAGGAAAAGCATTAGGTGTGTAAACATAGATGTGTGCACAGAAGTGGGACAGCATGGTACTTAGGACCTGATTGCCTTGTTGAAATCCTCTCTCCACCTTCTAGCAGCTGTGTGACCTTGGGCAAGTTGCTTGACTCTGCTTTCAATTTCTTTATCGGCAGAAATAGTGATTAATAATAGGGTTCTTGAAGGATTAATGAATTCCTGTAAAGAATTTTGAATAATGCTAGGCACGTATCAAATCCTCAATAAATGGTAATTATTATCACCTTTGGTTGTTCCCCTCATCTGTTTGTTGTTGTTTGTTTTTAATTGTATTCCAATCTGTTCCTCTGTCAGTTATTTGGAAGTAATTGAGCAGCAAGAAAATGAACTCTATGTTCCCTCCAAAATCTCTTCTGGGCCTCAAAACTGATTCTAAGAAATACGCTGCCTTGGTACCCATGTAAAAATAACAGATGAAAGAGTACTTGAGACCTGAGTTCTAGTTGGGGTTCTTTCAGAGCCAGAAGCAGAATTTGAATATATCAACCTGTGTACATGTCACATTTTCATCTGCAAAATGAGAACATGGATCTAAAACATATGTCCATAACTCAAAAGCCTATAGAGGTCAGGTAAGAGATATAAATAAGTGAAGTAGTCCCAGTGTGAGATAATAGGTAGTGGTAGGGACTCTGGCAAACCTAAAAGAATATGCCCTGACTAATGGGACCAACAGCTAATTCTCATCTACCAACACCCACGAATTCAGGCTTGGTATCACCTTTTCCTAAAGAAGCCAGAAATTCTTATTTTTATATGAAATGTTAAAATAAATTAATTCATTATTGGGTCATACAAAACATGACTAAACACCCATTTATGACCTTTGATCCAAGTGACTTTCTAAAATTCTTTTTGGTTACCTTCCATTACTCAGTTACAATGGGATACCCAAACAGAACAGCTAGTTCCAATCCAAACTACAATTCTGTGATCTAGTCAGTTACTTTTGCTTACAGAAAAACCTTTCAATCCATGGTTATAACAATACATACTGAAACTTCTGGAAGTAAACTGACTGAGATCACTTTTTTTACATGCTGAAATTTCTAATTTAGATCAACCTGGGTTTACTTCTGATACTATTTACATCCAGAAGGTGAAACAAATAAAAATGACTCTTCAGTTCTTGTTTGATTCATCTACCTTCATTCAATTAGATGCAATTATAATATTAGCCCCCAAGAATGCATCTGTGAAATGTCTGTTTGGGTTTGATCCTGATTTAAAATCCTCAGAGCTTTTAAATAGAAATTCTGGGTGCTTGTTTAGGAAATAGGTTTCTGAATATTTTTTCTTTTTTAAAAAACTTTTCTATTTTTTAAAACTTTCTTATTTCTATTTGAGAAGTACTTAAGGTTGTGCAGTGCTACAGAAAGCTGAAAGAGAAATTATTCTTTTCTCTAGAGATAAAGAGGGATAGAAAGACTTCTACCCAACCACTGTTTTGTGCTTCTAAAATTATTTATCTCCCTGCAATCTTCTTTGACAAAGATGTAATTGCCTCAATAATAAAAAAGCTGAAAGAAGGCATGTGGCACACAAATCTCTGCAATGCGTTCATTTAAAAAGATAAGCAAAACTGCTTGTGAATAACAAATGATACCCAAAGTGTGGCTGTCTTTGAAATAAATCATACCTTAAATCCTGGAGATCAGATTGTACATACCTTAAGAACATCAGCATTTCCTTTCATTTACTTGCAAAATTAAGAATTTTAACTCCTATTAAGTAGCAATGAAAAAAATCTTGTTGCAAGTCTGGTGATCGAATTCTAGAATGAAATAGAAGCTTTCCCCAGAATTTTTTTTTTTAATCACGTAGATGCCAGATAATAGGAAGTGGGAAAGTAGAGTGACGGAAACCAGTGGGCAAAGGAAAATAATAAAAAATATTCAAAAGGTTATGCTAAGTGAAATAAGTCAGGCAGAGAAAGACAATTATCATATGGTTTCACTCATATGTGGAACATAAGGAATAGCATGGAGGACCACAGGGGAAGGGAGGGAAAACTGAATGGGAAGAAATCAGAGAGGGAGACAAACCATGAGAGACTCTGGACTCCGGAACCAAACTGAGGGTTACAGAAGGAAGGGTGGTAGGGGGATGGGGTAACCGGGTGATGGGTATTAAGGAGGGCACGTGTGGTGATGAGCACTGGGTGTTATACGCAACTAATGAATCGTTGAACACTACATCAAGAACTAACGATGTACTATATGCTGGCTAATTAAACATAATAACAATAAAAAAAAGAAAATGCTATTTAAAAATTGAAAAAAATATATTCAAAAGGTGACAGAATGAGAAATTATAATTTATACCATGGCTGGAATTAATGTCAGCTCCTATGTAAAGATTAATGTGAATTTACTAAAGCACTTAGAATTAACACAATTATAGCATGTGATTTTAATGAGTTTTATCAAAAGAAAGTCATTGCTTGGTACAAACATGTACCGTTGGAAAAGTTTTTCCTGAGTTTCTTTTACAGTAACAAGGGTAGATGTTTTTCATTGATAATTTTCACTTAGTAATATATAAAGTTTCTCCAGGTAGATGAGGGACTACCTTTCATTAGAAAAAAGGAAGATCTCAGAAAATGGTTATAATTCCTTTAATATCTCTAATAATGATTTTTAAATATCTTACATACAACTCTTGGCTTTGACATATGGTTCTCTGAATATTAACAAACAAACAAAAACATTTTCGAAAGATTAATCTGATGTCTTACCAGTGATATGGGGTTAGTATTAAAGTCTCTACAATTTTTTGTGGTAGATTTTTTAAATTGACTTTGTAGAGAACTGTTTGAACTAACGTATGGCCTTTATTCTGCCATTTCATTTAACGTGTTTTTGTGACATAGTATTTATGATTCAGCAATGTCAAGCTGAAAGTATTTTGTTCCTCACATACAGTGCAACCTCAAATAGAGTGTACATCTTGAAGGATGCCAGTCAGCCATGGTGTATTTGGAAAAAATAGTGAGAAAGGTCACTAAGCATAGGAACAAATGAAAATGTACTATTTGAGCAATAGGACTGAGACCTTCAGGGACTCTCCTTTTCAGTCCATACCTGTCTTAAAAGTCAATGCATGCCTTTTAAATATCATGATTCATGTCATATTCTACATGGAAATGTAGTTTTGTGGTTAGAATAACAACAAAAAAAAACTAATGAAATTTTTACTCTATTTATGCCTACAAGAAGTAAAAAATAAAATAAAATAATAAGTGATATTTTGTGAATGAATGTTTTAAGTGCCAAGCACTGTGCTAAATATTTTATATCTCTTATTCCAGCGAAAACTAACCTTAAAAACCTCTGAGATAAGTACTCTTATTATGCCCATATTACAGATAAGGGAACTGGAGCATAGGAAAAGGCAAAGCAACTTGCCTAAAAGTAAATAAATAAATTTTTTGAGGGCAAAAAACAACAGCATCAAAATAGCCAAGGCTGATTCTCTAGTCCATGCTTTTGATCATTATGTTAGACTGGCAGACAGTTTAAGTCAGACAACTTCTCCAGAAATGTCCTGGTTAATCCAAGGATAAATATCTTCTTTGCTTGTTTTGCTAAATTTGTCATTTGTCATTGGTAAAGTATTGATGAGATTTGACCCAGGTATAGAAATCCAAAAAGATCATCTTTTTATCTTGTGTTTTTCATAGCTACCATAGCACTTCATTTCAAAAATAAGGTAGAAGGAAGTAACACCTGACAGATTCAGGTGCAATGCTTTGACAGACATAACTTGTTACCATCACAGTTTATTATTTCCATTTTCCTTTGTACAGAACCCAGTGCTGCTCCCACAGATGTCAAGGCTACAAGTGTGTCTGTGTCAGAGATTCTTGTTGCATGGAAACATATTAAAGAGAGTCTAGGAAGACCACAGGGATTTGAGGTATGAATAGAATTATTGAAAATAAGCCTTGTTATTTTTGCTGCCACTGCATTCTCCTAAAGAAATGGTTTGGTGACACTTCAACAGAATTATATTCTTTTGAAATTTTTGTTCTGTGGCAAAGAAAGAAAAATATTCTATTTTACTGACATGTTCATTAGCTGGCTTATTTTTTTAGTACAGTAGTTTCCATGGTGCCATGTAAAGAATTTTTTTAAGGAGATGAAAATAGACCTTTAGATAAAAATCAGGAGTTACAGGTGGATATTTACTGATATCCAATTTGCTGGTGGTTAAAAATGTTTTGTTTTGTTTTTTTTAAAGATTTTATTTATTTATTTGACAGAGAGACACAGTGAGAGAGGGAACACAAGCAGGGGGAGCGGGAGAGGGAGAAGCTGGCTTCCGACTGAGCAGGGAGCCCAATGTGGGGCTCAATCCCAGGACTCTGGGATCATGACCTGAGCCAAAGGCAGAAGCTTAACGACCGAGCCACCCAGGTGCCCCTAAAAATGTTTTTGTGGAAAAATGTTTTTGCGTATTTCCTTCTAATAATTTAATGTATGAAACAAGTTTTCCTATTATACTCTCTTGGCAGATCTTAATTCCTATACTGACTTCTCAAAATTTCTTAGACTTGATGATCAATACCTATTCATTTAAATGACTTTTTGTCCTTTAAATTTTGCTATTTTCAAACACGGTTTATGCTAGCCTTATAATGGTGAAAATTTCATAACATTTCAAAGCCTTCAATGAAATTTTAGCTTCCACATGAACAAGAGGATTGTATATAGTCTATGAACTTGAATATTCCACAAATTCAAGATCCCTACTTTTTGTGTTGGCCAGTAAGTGATAGGATTTTGGGGGATAATTTCTAAAAGACAAAAAATAATTAGCATCCTACCCAAGACTTAGTTCCCTTTAAACTTAAATAGTGACCAAGTATAAGACTTGTACACCAACATGGTTTCAGACTGAAAACACAGTTTTTTAATTCTATTTGCGTTTTCAAATAAGCCTGAGAAATATTTGATTAATAGACTGCTAACATTAGATTATGATTTCTATGATAAAGAATTCACGAAATCTTTCTTAAGAGTTACAGCAAGACCATGTCTAAGAAACCATTATCTATACAATATCATGGATTTGTTTCTATAATATTGCTTTGATTTATTATTTGGTGGTCATAATTCAGTATGTGTCTTATCATGATTACATGTTTATTTGATTAATATCTCCTCATCTCCCTATCCATGCTGCAGGACTATATCTATTCACCAATGAATCTCAGCACCTGGTAGTACTTGGCTCATGAGAGCTAACCAATATATATTTTTTGAATGAATGAATATCTATGCTTCATAATCCGTCCCTTTTAATACCACTGTGGAAGACATTGGGGTAGCCTACCCTGCTCCCCTTCAGGGGACCAGTGTACTTTCCCCAGCTTTCACCAGTGTTGGCTGCTTATGGTCCTCAGTTTCCCCTTTGGAGAACTGTCCTTCACTGAAGGGTGCTGCTTTACCTGAAAAATTCCCTTCCCACAAAGAGGCAACCCAAATCCAATGACTGACTGACACTGGTCACTTGACTAAAGAAGAAAACAACTTTATGGTACATTTTATGATGTAGAGCCTTTGCTGTGTGCATCAGGACAAGGCTGAATTGATTACCGAGACCACAGTCCTTCTCAACTCCCTCTCCTTCCTTTTTCTCTCCTCCCTTCTTTACAGGTTTACCTGCAAGTGCTCTCAAAATAAATCACATGCACTCAAATCTCTATCTCAATCTCTGCTTCTAGGGAGCCTAACCTAAAACAGCTACATAAGTGTAGACTAACCTAGAATTCTGAATAAAAACATCTGGTGTGCATCCTGTTAGAAAGGCCACAAAGTGTATCCTGGTAAACAGAAAAGTGAGGGATCCAGGCTCCCACATCTCAGAGTGGTGCTTCTCTCACACATCCAGCCACACTCAATTTTTTTTTTTCTGCATGACATTCACATTTCCACTGCAACTCACTTGTAATAAAAGCTCTCTTGGAGGTCCAAACATCACCTAAGATTTATATTTGTGCACAATTCTTCTCCTTGTAAATATAAATAATTAATTCATTAAGTCAACAAACATTTATTGAACACTCACTAAGTACCTACCAGGCACTAAGCTAGATGCTAAGGATAAAACAATGAGCAAAGTGAAGTCTCTGTCCTCAAGAAGATCATATTGAATTAGGGAAGGCAAATAACAAATAAACTAACAAATAAATGTGGGATATAATTTCAATTATGATAAATACTGTGTAGAAAAATAAACCCGAATAAGAAGGTAGAGAGTGAAAGAGTGTGCTATTTATAAAGGTATGAAAAGTCACCCTTTTTGAGGTTGTGACATTTGAATTGAAACATGACCGAATGTGAAAGAGGCAGAAAGAACAGCAAACTCAAAGTCTTTAAAGTAACAGCATGCTGGCCTTGTTCAAAGAACATGAAGGGAGTGATTTGGGTGAGATAACAGTGAACAACAGAGAAGGTGGTAGGAAAATGGTGGAAAGAACACCAAGACAAGGACCAGATTATATGGGGTTTTGTGAACCACAAAAAGGAATCTGGATTTTGTCCCAAGTATGAGGAGAAGGCATTAGAAGATTTTGAACAGGAAGAGTCAAGTCAGTATCTGACTTATATTTTAAAAGACTCTTAGTCTAGAGGGTAGAGAATAGACTCTAGACTAGATCTCAGGGAGAACAAAGAAAGGCAGTTGTTCCAACCTAGGTGAAAATGAACTTTTTTTTCTAATTAATTTATTTATTTTAGAGAGAGGGAGAGAGAGAGAACAAGTGAGTTGGGGAAGGGGCTGAGGCAGAGGAGAGAATCTCAAGCAAACTCCCTGCTGAGCACAGAGCCTGATGCAGGGCTCAGTCCCGCAGCCCATAAGATCACAACCTGAGCTGAAATCATGAGTTGGACGCTAACTGAGACACCCAGGCACCCCAGACAATGAAGTTCCTTTTGACTGGAGCAATCGCAGTGAAATTGAAAAGAAGAGACTTTTTAACATATATTTTGTATGGATGTATGATGGAATTTGAAAATGAATTCAGTGTGAACTAAGAAAAAGAAAGGAATCAAAGATAATTCCAGAGTTTTTCACCCAAGAAACTGAGGAAATAACATGTCATTCACATAGATGAGAAACTCAAAGAGTGGATGTTAGTGAAAAAAAAAAATTACAGATTCTGGTTTAAATGTGTTTAATTTTATGAGACTTCTTATTTCCAAAAAGAGTTGTCAAGTAGGTCTTATGCTAAGAGAAAGGGTAGAGATGGAGATTTAACTCCAAGGAATCATCAGTATATAAATGGCTTTTATATATATACTGGCTGAGATCACTGAATGTTGATAAAGAAGATGTTTCAGAATTGAGCCCTATGATGCCTGACCATTTGGAACTCAAGAAAGAAAGGGAGTCTGGCCAAAGAAATGAAGGGAGACAAGGAAGAAATTCAGAAGCTAAGAGAAGAATTGCTCTACTGGGAAAATGCTTCTGAAAAATTCAGAAAGATGAAGCCTGAGATTGCAAAACAGATATGGCCATGTAGAGATCCTAGTGACCTTGGTGAGAGTTTTATGGAATGCTGTGATCAAGGTTTGACTAGAGATTAAAAGCAAGACCACTCAAGAGTAACACTCAAGAGGGTCAGAGCACAACATTGTTGCTAAATGTGTATCATTTAAAATGGAAATGTATCCAAAAAACTGGAATATCCTTAAAAATAGAATGTTAATAGGAATAAACCAAATTCTGGAATAATCATCACAATGATTGTATTTTAAAATTCAAATAAATTAACACAAATTCTGACAACAATTTTTATACTTAGAAACACAGAATCCATGGGCACAGTAACCTTTATACTATTTTATAGTGCTTTATAAGTTATTTTTAAAAACATGGCATCTTGTCAAATCAAAAACCTTACAATAGATAAACAAAAAATAGAGAGCAAGAAATCCAAGCATAACACTAAAAAAACCCATCAAACCACAAGAGAAGAAAGGGATAGAGAAGAACTTCAAAGACAACCAGAAAACAATTAACAAAGTGCCAATAGGCACATACCCCTCAATAGTTACTTTAAATGTGAATGGACTAAATGTTCCAATCAAAAGGATTGAGAATAAACAAGAACCATCTATAGGCTGCCTATAAGAAACTCACTTCAGACCTAAGGACACATGCAGATGAAAGTGAAGGGCTAAAAAATGTATACCATGCAAATTGGAGCAAAAAGAAAAAAGGGGTAGCAGTACTTCTATCAGACAAAATAGACTTTAAAACAAGAGACAAAGAAGGACACTACATAATGATAAAGGGAACAATTCAACAAGAGAATATAACAATTGTAAATATTTATGCACCCAACAGAGAAGAACTTAAATACATAAAGCAACTATTAACAGACATAAAGGAAGAAAGTGACTGTAATACAATAATAGTAGGGGACTTTAACACCCCATCTACCTCGATGGATATATCATCCAGACAGAAAATCAACACGGAATCAGCAGCTCTAAATTACACATTGGACCAGATGGATCTAACAAATATATTCAGAACATTCCAACCAGAAACAGCAGAAATGAATATTTTCAAGTATACATGGAACATTTTCTAGAATAGATCACATGGTAGGCCACAAAATAAGTCTCAACGAATTCAAAAAGATTGATATCATATCATGCATCTTTTCTGACCACAACATAAGAAATCACAAGAAAAAATCTGGAAAGAACACAAATACGTGGAGGCTAAATAACATGCCACAGAACAATGATTGGGTCAACCAAGAAATCAAAGAGGAAATCGAAAATTACACAGATACAAATGAAAATAAACACACAAGGGTCCAAAATCTTTGGAATGCATCAAAAATTGTCCTAAGAGGGAAGATTTAGCAATACAGGCCTACCTCATGAAGTAAGAAAATT